TTTTTAGTACCTTTAGGGAAATGACCAAATTTCACTAAAAATGACTTTGACCGTCGTGTTTTGCTCTTAAAAATCAGGCACTGGTTCCGAACGGGTAAATTTGTGTTTTGAATCCGAATCCGTCGAGAGATTTGACGGATTATATCGTCTTTACTGGCCTTGAAAACTTTCATTTTGTTAGGGGCTTATGGAGGACTGTTTTTCCAGAATGGCAATAAGACGTTGTAATCCGTCAAATCTCTCGACGGATTCGGATTCAGAACACAAATTTACCCGTTCGGAACCAGTGGCTGATTTTTAAGAGCAAAAGACAACGGTCAATGTCATTTTTAGTGAAATTTTGTCATTTCCCTAAAAATACTAAAAATAACCAGAATCTTTCAACGGCCATAACTCTGAAAGTATTTGAGCTACAGCAGGGTGGCTTTGCACGAGAGTTGCCCTATATTAGACTCTACTTTTCGTCAAAATCAGACGTCGATCGGACATCGGGGAGGGAAGTTAATAACTTTTATGTGACTTAGTGTCGTTATTTAAAATAAATCAACTTCAGGGCCGTTGCGGCAGCACTAAAACGTGTCCGATCGGTCTCCGAAAAAAATTTTTTTTTTTTTCATCGCAAGAAACAAAGTCTGACCCTAAGACCTTTAAATATCTAGAAAGTGATTTTTAAGTGCCAGTCTAGTGGACGCGGGCGATGCCTAGGAGTCCCGCTCCCGCAGCGTTGGTCTCGCCAGGGTGGATGAGAGGACCTAGCACGTAAGGGTAGTGTCGGTGCTCCTGCGGGGCGATGTGGGAGTTGAAGACCCCGAGGAGGAGCTTCCAGTGGCGGGGCTAGGCAGAGGCGAGGCCTGTGTTGATGGCGTCCAAAGCCCCTCTCTGCCCCGGAGTGCCGTCCCCGGGGACGTGGGGACCAATGATGGTAAAGTGCATCCCCCAGAGGAGCGCCTCGGCCATAACGACGTTAGGCCCCAGGATTGCTGTGCTGCGTAGCCGTACCTCCGGGTGGCCCCTCCTGACCAGCAGAGCTACCCCCCTCTTCCCGCCCCGCGGGACCCCCTCTACGTATCAAGTGTAGTTGTCCGTAACCAGGTCTTGTCGCGGGATCTTTGTTTCCTGGAGTACTGCAATGTGAACATCCTTGGGGAGTAGGGCCGTGTCCACCGCCTCGCGGACCGTTGCTTTGGCCCCGCCACGGATGTTCCATGTGGCCACGTTGATGAGCCCCTGTGCCTGCGGGGTGGGGTCCGGAGCCAGGGTGGTGAGGCGGGGGGTGATCCCGGCCAGCTGCGACGGGGGGGTGGCCAGCTGTGGTGGTGGCGTCGGGTCGTCGAGGCCGCGCGATGATGGCGTCATAGCATGTAGGCCCCTAGTCTGCTGGGTCGTCCGAGGCCAGGAGCAGCAGCGGGGGCACAAGGTGGTCAGTGGAGCCCCATGCCGGCAGCAC